ATTAGCCAATGGTACCTTGTTATCCGAGTGTACCTTTTCCTACAGATATATCCAGCAGTTGGGGAACAGCGGGCTGCTTCACCTCATGCACTACTCTTGACTGCAAACTCGTTCCCCTAGCGTGTCATAGGTCTCATGTAAGTTCTTGCCTCCCTCTTTGAGGAAAATGTCATTTTTTTAACGTACCATCAATTTTTGTTTATATCATGCTCTAGGTTTACTACGTTGTATCGCTACGTTGTATTTTTCGAACTCTGATCTCGTACTCCGGATTTAACGAGCTCGTCATTGCACTACTCGAATACAGTATTTTCTCCCCAGTGAATAAAGAAGTGCTCAGTAATAGTATTTCTTGTGTCGTCAATGGTGCTTTTGAATGCTGTGCTATCAGCTACCAAAAACATGGTTATCTGCAAAACAAAGGTGAATTCTTAGTGAGGACTTAGACATTTGATTTTTTCGATAGGGAGTTACTTCATTAACGGCAATTTACGAGTGAGTGACAGTGATTTGTCTTCAAGTGATTACGAAAATGAGTATTGCTTGAATTGAAGGCCTCATATCTTGAGGGTGCACCGATTGAGCAGATACCCACAGCGAAACACATACTGAATGGCAGAGAAAACCAGTTGATAGAGGGCACGGGCAAGTAGCGCGTTTGGCTGTGGTAGGCGTGTCCTTCGCCGCGCTTCAGCCCAAGGTGCAATATGGCGTCAGCACCAAATTTTCACTACCCTTCAGCCTCGTTGTGCAGTTTTGAGGGGGAAGTGGCTTGCTGCTGCAGCTGCGGGCCCAGTGACTTCGCACATAGCAAGAACTTTGTACAGAATAACCGATCCGTAGTCGCAGAAGCTGTACCACTTTCGCGTCGCAAACGATCCGCTGAAGAAGTGAACTATGCCTCCACATTCAAGCAGAGATTGCAGCCTGTGAAGAACGCCTACGACGTTAATGTCCGCCTTCTCGCTGAAAGTGCGCGAAAATGATTCTGGATGGTTCTGACCCCTGAATGTTCTTTATGTCTCCGCTCGTCATGTGGTGCACGACGAGCGGGCCACAAACGCGCAACACGACGCCACAGCTAGCCACACGACCGCAACCATATGTGCTACTTGTTCGAGCCATTTTCGCCTGGGTGTGATAGCAGTACTGTGCGATCACTTGCTGTAGTTGCTGTTACGCCAACTTATTACTGACAAAACGTTAATACGTAGCCTTGTTTTTTATTCGTAGTTATCAGAGTCGCATAATGATGACGCAACTATTTGAACTTTTGTGCAAGGTCCTGTTGCGAAATCCTGAAGCGCAGACAGCTACGGGACAGCTGTTGGCAAAGTATCGAAAAGTGCAAAAAATGTGACGAGCTTTTCTGAGGGGGCTCCAAAGTGGGTGAACCACCTCTCACGCGTGAAAATCTGGAATGTGTGTGATCACAGTGGCCATAAAACGCCGCGTGGACGAGAGGCTGCAGAGAAAAACAGCAACTTGACGCGACCCAAGGGATTAGCTTCACGTTTTCCGTAGACTGTCGGCATAATAGGCCGCGGAAAGTACCACAGTTTTCGAGTTTTTTGAAAGACATAACTTTTCGGCCTGTAGTGTTAGACAACATGGGTTTCATACCTTTAAGCTTGCAAACTTTTGTAGCTGATAGTATGCAGTCTAGTATCCCTAGTAATTTTCCAGTGAACCATTTTGTCCAGAATGAAAAGATGCGCTGCTCTAATCGATCTCAACGGTACGTTACACATAGAAGACATGGCAGTGCCACGTGCCAGTGAAGCACTGGAGCGGCTTCGAAGGACTCGTCCAGTAAAATTTGTTACCAATACGACAAAAGTAGGTTCTTTCCAATGCTGTTGTGTTGTCCCAAAAAGCTCGTGACAAGTCTTTGAACTACGACTATTAGATTTTTGGAAAATTTCTAGGAATCAATAAATGTACTGCACCGACGTGTTACTGGCTGTGGGTTCCGCATAGAAAAAAATGAAATTTTCACGTCACTCGTGGCTGCACGAAAGTTGGTCGAGGACCGGAAACTCCGGCCGATGCTCATGCTCGCAAAGGAAGCCTTGGAAGATTTCGAAGGTTTTTATCCTATATCCTTCACATTGCTTTATCAGTAATGCTGGCTCCAGGACATGGTTCTAGGCATAAACACAACTGATCCGAATGCGGTCGTCGTCGGCTTGGCACCATCAGAATTCCACTTCGAAAGGCTCAACGATGCATTTAAACTCATATTAAATGGTACATTTATTGTAGTGTAGCATAAGGTTTACTATTCTGTATGTTTGTACGTCGTAGGTTGTTTGAGGTGTTGTGAGAAGTGGCGCTAAATGCTCAGTTCGCGGATCAAATTCGCGGTAGGCTCGCTACGGGGGCAACCAGCCTTTCTTTCCTGGGAGTGGCTAACCATAACTCAAAGGTCCCTATCTTGAACTCAAGGTAAAGAGATTTCTCCGATGGGCGGGCATTGTCCGGCGGAACAAGTCTCCATCTCCCTCGCTGGTGCAGGACTGTCCTCGGAGGGTAAGAACTCCGCCTTGTACACTGTCCGGCTACACATCGTTATATATGCCAAATCTCATGTAAAATGTCATCACGATTTTGAGAGGAATTGGTATGCGAGGCGCTACCCAAAGGGTCCCTATCTCAAACTCGAAGGGAAAGAGATTTCTCCGATGGGCGGGCATTGTCCGGCGGAACAAGTCTCCATCTCCCTCGCCGGTTAGCTTGCGGACCATGCAGATGGAATTGTTATTGTAGAATGTGCTTTTAATATCATGTGTCATTATAGGAGCACAGTTGGTTGCTGTTCACAAAGGAAGATACTACAAGCGAGGTGATGGATTGGCGCTTGGTCCTGGGCCATTTGTAGCTGCATTGGAGTACGCCACTGGAGCGAAGGTTTGCATTTTCTTTTTTTCGTCCGCTTCATTCACGGATACCTAGCTGAGGCCCATATCGCAGAGGTGGAAGGGGCGTGGCTGCACGCTTCATGTGGGTGTATCGCGACTGCGCTCCCGGTGGGACTTTCCTTTTCGTAACTTCCAGGCAGAGGTCGTTGGCAAGCCAGAACCAGCGTTTTTCCGCATGGGTGCTGCTACACTAGGTGACGATATCGACCTCGCCAATACCGTAATGATTGGTGACGACGCAAAGGACGATGTTCTTGGAGCAATCAAATCTGGGATGAAAGGCATTCTTGTTCGTACAGGGAAATATAGAAAAGGTATGCTTTTTTATTAGAATTGAGATTAGTATGTGGTAGAAACAGTTCGCTCCATTTCCAGGCGATGAGAAGCAGATACCCGAAGAACGAAGGAACTGCGTGGAGTCCTTTCGCAGAAGCAGTAGATTTAATTGAAAATGGTTCAGTTCTATGAAAAATATGGACTCAGTTCGGCTTGGTGGGGGCATTCTCTGCTTCCCATTGATCACTGCCGATGCCTCGGTGTGGACCTGTAAG